GATGTAAATGAAAATCAAGGACCTGTAATGCAGCATAGACAGGTGTGAAGCGGTAGGGTGGGATTCGGGCTGTTGGGGTTGAAGGAGCAGCAGCAGCAGCCCGGCTAAAGGCAATAGGCATTTGGCATACCGCTGTTTCGATATTTACATAGAACACAGCATATACAAGGGGCGCACGCTTTGTTTGACTGTTTTAATACCCTAACTTATTACAGTGCGAGACTCTGAGCTCATTTGTAAAAGTATATTCATTATACGATTCGTATTACTCTACTATGCGAATCGGAAAATGCGTTTAGTGCCCGACTAAAAGATCCCCTGAACCCAGGGTCAAGCTGTTGTTACAACTGATCAGAGAACTCAATCGAAAAATCGATACTTATCGGCTTGGTAGAAACGGAGTGACCTTTCGATGTAGACGTCGAGGTTAAACATCGGATAATAAGGAATAGATATATCTATTTAACGGGGTCGGAAAACCTTCACCTTTTGCATTTTCGATGACAGGGTATAAAAATACCACAACTGGAATATGAGTGAAAAGCAATACCGGCAAAATGTAGTTTGTAGAACCGCGGAGCTTTGTGGCTTTAAAAGGACATCATCTCGCCATGTTCAAAGGCGAAGTAATGTCGCTTTAAAATGTCATAATCTCGCCAGAAGTAAAGCTACATAATTCCACAGGCAAAATGTACTGTGAACGTTTTTACATGATTTTTGTTTTTTTCAATTACAGGACGAACCACATATGCACATTGCTCGCAAAGTTGTTGGCGGTTGTTGATATTCGCTTCGTTGTGGGCAAATTCAATTTGCGCATCGATATTTAATTATTGGCCGCAAATTGTCACTGCATCTGCCCTGTCAAAGTGCAGCATTACGCATTGTCTTGTCAGTGAATGCTGCACTCGAGTCGTCATTTTTGTCAAAGCTATCGATACATTTTAAAAAAATCTAAATCTAGCTCGCAACAATTTGTGGACAAATAAAACTATAATGAGAGTGTAGCCAAAAAAAAAAGGGTTGTGCTTAGGGTTGAAAGCTAACACAAGGGATCTTTCTTGCTGATCAATTGATTGTTATCGCCGCTAAGGTGGCACTCTACCACCTGGTGAACTGTTTTTTGCCCTGCACGATCTATTGCCGCTTAGTGTCTCGGCTGTTTTGCGACAGCAAGCAGAAATACCTCGAGTGTAGCGTATTTTTTTATTTGTGCACGCACAATGCTACTCCACAGGACACTTTCTCTGAATTCTGACCAAGAAATACGAGTATATGCCGAATGGATTAATCAGATGCACTTGCAATCAGCGAGTCCATTCGAACTGTCTCCATTTAATTAACAAAAACACACGCACACACCCACTCACACACACACACAGGGTGTGCATGTGGGAATTTTGGAATCAGTCTCTTATTTACTGCTGCCATAGAAATGCTCGTCCATGTACAAGTCACAAAAGACCATCCCAAAAGGGAGGCGCACTTCAAAGTTGCATTTTAATTGACCTGCAGCCGAAAGTGCACAAACAGTCGTTGATTGTTGACAGAGAGACAATTGCAATGTTTGCATACCAGCCGTTGATATACCCTGGAAATTATATATATTTTAATTATGTTTACATAAATTGTCTAAGTGCAGGTAGTAGGAGCTCTAAATATGCGCAGAGTGATTAGTCAGGCCCGTGAGTCCAGAGCTTCAATTGTATGTGTTAGCCAACTGTATTGGATCGATCTGAAAGGAAGACAATTTAATTAAAATGAATATTTTATCTAATGCAGCTATACATGAGTATAGATCGAGTCATGAACTTTAACAAATGCATCCAAGAAAATGGCATGTGAGCAGAGGCTCGGCTTGCCGTATATAGGGAATAAATCCAATATACCCTTTCCCACATTATAAACAGGACATAACAATTTTATTGCAACGTGGACTCCCATCGCGCATATTTATAAACCCTTTTTTCTGACATTTTCAGCATTCGTTTGGCGAGTCCTGTGCAAATTAACCAGCCCATTGTCTTAACAATTTGCCTACCATGCTGTGCAGAATCTATAATTTCATAAAAATTCTGGTGCCCGGAGGAAGGCAGAAGTTTGGGAAAATGGCTTGCTGCCACGATGAGCCTTGACGCGAAATTTAAAAATGAAAAAAAATGGGTATTCAAACTTAATTATAATGCATATTCTTGTAATTATATTATTTTAGTTTTTTAAATATTAGCGTTATTATGGGAGCAGCTTTAATTAAACTGAAAATACGAATATTTTCAATACCACTTATTTTACAGCTAAGTCTAAGATAAACAAAAAATTAATAAAGATAGACTGGTTATATAAGCCGATCTGAGAGATCGATGATTTTTGATTTTTAACTCTCGAGGATGAAATTCACAACCCTTTTTCTGTTGTTCTGTTGGGATTTTTGGAATCCAAACTGAAAGGCAGGACTTTTACGTTTAATTCTTTCCAAGGACAACAGTCTCGTCAGCAGGAAACGTTCAAAGAGTTTGCCAACAGACTAATTGGTCCGTAAGAGTCTAAGGTTAAGGGAATCTTTTTAGCCTCATGGATGCTACATATCCTTGCCTTCTGCCATTGACCCGGAACACGCCCCAGTCTCAATACCGCATTGAAGATAAGCTTTAAGCGTTATGTTGTCTATCCCATCTTCGCCAGGAGCTTTTCTAGTCTTAGGCCCTTATATGTGATTGGCGACTTCTTCGGCTGTGACTGGAGCAACTGGGAGATACTTTTTATATGCATTGTTGAGAAGAAGACACACGCTCATTCAGACAATATACCCAAATATTATATCTAAAGGTTACGCGCTTGATTTTTGAATCAATTTAATGCGAGAAAAACCTTTAAATCCGTTTTAGGTTTGATCGCACCTTCAAATTATGGGCTTTAATGTTCATTACACAGCTCAATACACCAGCTTGTTGTACAACTGTTGTGCTACAGGGTATACAAGTTAAAACAAACACCTAATCATATTACAAACGAGCATTGATTTCGAAGGTAGCAGTTAGTGTAGATTTTTGGCAAGCTGGTGTTGTGCGACATTTGCATTTGCATTTAAATTAACTAGTATCCAATGTCAGCTGCAGCATATGCTGATTGTAGATAATTATGGGAAATGTGCTATTAATTAACGTCAGTAACTATAGGAATAAATTCGACACATGCCAAACATTACAAGCGCAATAAATTCATTGCAATTTGCTGTTTATGAAATTAATATATGTACAAAAGTAAATAATCAAATCAAACAGCAAATAGCAAATAAATCTAAATATAATATGCATAAAAATTATATTAATATGTATTGGCAGCTCAATTATTTTCAAGCAAATTGACAAAGCAGCCCGAATCAATAATTTTCAATATGGCTGCAAACAACGCCGCCACACCTCGCACCTGCCCACCGACAGTTTGCTGCAAGGGTAAATCAACCACATGGAATGTTCATGTTGCCAACCACAAAAGTTGCCTACGGCCATGCCCAGAAATCGACTAGACGTGCCTCACATAACCAACTACGAGAGTTAGTTTAAGCAAGATTGTAAACCGCAGTATTTCAAAACGTTTGATATTGGTCCCAGTCGATAGGCTGCACAATCTATGATATCGATAATCGGCAGCAACAGATAGTGAGACAAATAGAGAAGTAGCTTGGTTTACACATTCAACCTGACCCGAAAAAGGCAGAGGGGGGGGGGGGGGGAGGGGCGGTCTTGGCATTGGATGTCTGGCATTACAGAAGCAACTCTGAGCCCAGCCCGTGGACTCGGCAGAGCGCCCGCCAGCACAGTTCTTCAAGTCAAGGACTTATGAGAAAATGAGTACGTTTTCTTAGAATTGCAGGACAGTCGTTAAGCAGATGCTTATTTGTGCTTAGGTGTTTTTATCCGCACAGCTCCGACGGGTGTCAGGGTGGGGCAGCTGCAGCCTTTGATGGTGCACTGCCTCGTTATTTCTTGATTCCATGGACTTTGATAAGCTTACTGAAGAGCCCTCGCGTTTGATGCAGAGTGTGGCGTTTGTAATCTACGGCTTCGCATCATGGAACTTATGATTGAGCCCTTAGCCACGCAAAGAAAACGGAAAACCTGCTAACCGCATCACAGACCATGAAATGTTAAGTACACACAACTCTAGTCAAATGTCCAGAGACCTTGTCTGGCTGTATGTGCTTCTGTGTGTGTGTGTGCGTGTGTGTATGTGTGTGAGTCAATAAAGCAACTGTTTGACCAGAATTTGAGAGAACACCTGCCTAACCACAAGTCAATAAAGCAATGTTCAACAGCCCACTCTCTGCATGCAATCAAAATTAAATTTTAGATTCTAGCACTGAATAGTTGTCAAGAGCTTTTTGACTTTATCCAGCTTCTATATTCAGCTACTAAGGCAAGCCATAAATCGCAGTTAAATATCAACTTTATATACACACGTTTACCAACACTTACACTTATATTGTGCCTAAATTTTAACTAACGCTTAGGCTTTTTAAGGCAATATATTGAATTACTTCATTTAACTTCGATGACTATTTCGACAATAAAACATTTCATTTTGCGGGCACAAAAGTAATTAGATTGAATTTATAATATTTTTCAATACTAGCTTTGAAATGGCCCTGTTCGCCAGCTCACAAATGCTATTTCTTGGTTACATTGTTTTGCAATTGTAGTAGAATGTTTTTCAAAATATTGTTTTCTTTTACAACACTATTGTTTTGATAATGCGTTTGCAGGGAAACTTACCAAATAGGTTTTTCCCGTTTTAATGGTACTGAATATGGTGTACATATGAACATGTAAATATTTTTAAATATATATATTTGGTGTCAAAGATTATATTGTCCTCCAGTTGAAAAATAACTTTTATCAGTCTCCTTGTTTGACTTATAAAAGGTTTTTACTTAAAAGCAGATTTATTTTATGATATCATCGGAACAAAGTTAACATTGCTCGGGCACTCAGTTCTTTAGCAATACAATGCATAATTTTTGATGTATCACTGTCGTTTGTCTAAAATTCCAATTTTCCCAATTCAATAAAAGATTCAATAAAATTGAAAATTATAGCTGCAGCCAAACTTGGTCGGAACAGAGCACAAACCGAAAAGTCTTTGGGCGAACATCACGATAATGGCCGGAACTCGGGCGCGCATCAATATCTACGTACCAAGTGAGTGCCGCTTCCCGGAGCTGACTATCGTCGGCGGCAATAGGGATCCGGTGCAATGGATGCTGCCACGGCTAAGTGGCGACAAGTCGGAGCCGTCTGTCGTTGCCGAGGTGGCGGCTGCCACCAAGGAGGGGGACGCCGGTGTCAAGGGCAGCGGTCGCTCCCTCTATGTCTATGATAGCGAGGGACGTATGCTGGAGCATGTCCGTTACCAGGGCAACGATTATCGCGGCGCCCTGCGTGCCGCCATCAGTGCCACGCCCAACCATTGGAGGGATTGACCGCGTCCCGGCACACTAAACATCCGGATATACTGATATCAATATGTGAGCCATCGTGCACCACCGAAATTCCACAATCAAATTTGCAGTTTCAGTCAAGCAACCAAAATCCACCCACTCGAGGATTATCGCAGCGGGTGAATTTCATCAAAATTGATCGCTACAAAAACAATAACTAAAAACAATTACAAAAACAATAGCAACAACAAAAACAAATGAAAAACGACTTTTTTTATTTTGTAGCCACGGCTGCGACCTGTCTCATTCTACATATACACATATGATATATGTACGTAAATGTGATATATATATATATGTATATATATATATGTATATACTTCACGGGCTGTACGCACTCCATAATCATCTGTCACAAAGTATATTTCTGAATTTACAGCACTTTTTGACGTGCCCGATATATTTTATTGCTAGGTGCGTTCTATTAGACATGGCATGAGTTAGATATGTGCTGACTGATTGATTGAATGAATGATTGATGATCAGCTTTTATAACTGGCAAGCTGCAATTTGCTCAGCACTTTATGGAAAACTGTCGGGAAAATTGGCACCGAAAATCCTTTTCGTTTTGTTTTTTTTTTTTATTCGATTAGCTTTTAACCACATGCTGCTCGGGCTTCCATTTGTATTTTTTTACATTTAATTTATATTAAAATATAAACTGGAATAGAGGAATTTAGTAAAAAGGCGCTTTGCAGGCTTGGTAAATTGTTGAAATTTGCAAAAATAAGACGGGTAATTTCATATTCTATTTGCTAGCACACATTTTCGACTTTATCATATAAGTATATATATATATAATATATTTTAAAATATTCTATCAACATTCAGTATACCCTGTGCCAGATAAATGGTGTCTTAATACCTTTTGGCTTGCGTTGAGTACAACTATTTATTTACTGCGATATTTTTATGCTCGTCTACAAAGTGAAAAAATATTCTCGTTCTATGGCTGCAGACTGTGTGTATGAATAACATTTTTGAAATTTTAAATATTCACTCCTGCATATCTGTGCATATGTTGAGTGTGAAGACAACTTGAGGATGTCCAGTGGGGCGTGATTTGCCTGGCAGGCAGTTTTGAGCTGTGAACGGGTATTTGGCAGTTGGTTGAACTCGACTGCAACATGCTTGTAGAAACTGCTTCCGAAAAGTAGCCCAGAAGGTAAATTTAATAGAATTTTATAGCGATTTTCTAGCTGCAATGGCAAAGCCTATAAGCACGCAACAGTTGGCCAATTAGCTGTTAAAGTAGTTGAGTGTGGTGCGGGCGGCGGGGCAGCAGCGGGACAGCAACGGGGCAGCAACGGGCCAGCAAGCCGCAGCCCGGGCGCAAATTGACTGAACATGCTGAAAATTGGCTTAAATGGCGGATGCCGCAACCCAAACAGAGGCCGCGCAGATGTGCAGATGTGCAGATGTGCAGATGTGCCACATGCCGCGTCTCGTCCCCCTTTGTTGCCAGCCCATTTAAAGTTTAGAGTTGCGCCGCGATAATGGTGCATACATGAACCCATTCCCCGGTGCCAGCCACCTGTTTTGGCTGCCTGCGACAGTTGCCACGGTCATGGTCATGAACCTCATTGCCAATCCCCTCCGACTTAATGTAATTTATGACTTTTGGCGTTGCCAAACCGCTGCCCCTTGGCCCCTGGGCCCTTAGCGTCATGGCACCTGACCCGCCGCCGTTGCGGATGAGCTGTCCTGCGTGGCGGGCATTATGTTAAATTTTATGTGACTACCATGGCAACAGGTCAAGCAGAGTGCTTCGAATTCGCATTCGGACCCGGGGTCAGGCTTTGGCTGCACGCTATTGGATTTTGGCTTCTGGCTTCTGGACTCCGGGTTGGAGCTCTGGCATCTCGCAGCAACGCACGACCGCACTTGGAAGTCTTGCATATTATACAACTTCTTGTTATATCCTGTAGCCATTAGAGGCGTGTAAGCGGGTATATTGAATCCGTGCACATGCAGGCACAGATTCATCGCTAAGTCAAATATTTGTCAGTATTTATGGTCCGTACTATTATTTATATATTATTATATTCGGAATTTAAAAGCCCGAATATTCGATGACTCGTTCCACAAAATCGATAAGAATCGATATCGATAAGAGCTTGCGAGACCCCATTTGGTATGTGGGCTCTTGTATAGCTTAGCTTATTGAAAAATGCAAATGCAAAAAAATGCATTATGAAAGGCAGAGCGTAGCGCATATTTATGCACCGAAAACTTCATAGAGATGGGACTATAAGCACCGAAGTTAATTAAGAGCACATTCAGGGTATATTCTAGTCGGGCACCGCCGTCTAGAGCCCTCTTTCTTGTTCCCTTTTTTTTTTTTAGTTGCATTCGTACTCGATTTACACACACACACACACACATACACACCACCATACGGGCATGCACACCCACGGGTGTGCAATAGATACCAACACCTGACGCATTGATGAACCCGCGTCGCCATGGAGCGAGCTGTCCATCTGACGTCGTAATTGGTAGCGATGATCAACTTATGTAAGCACCACATAGATATGATTGGGATTCGGTAGCCAATGGAATCCGAGCACGCCAATTGAGCTTATGAAACGCTATCAAATTGAAATCAATTGTGAAATGTTGGCTCTGGTAAGCAGTTGGGGCTCTGTGGCTGGACACAATATTTATTGCAAAATGCTTTTATTTTGTTTTGGAGCTGCATTCAAGCAAATGTTCAACCACCATTCTGATTGGCCTTGGCAGAGAGTTAAATCTTTGTAAACAAAACACGTTTTAAAGTAGTTTTAAATATGGCGGTAAATGCAGTTTAACATTTCCTTGAGGACTTTTGCACGATTCTGCGAATGTGGCTTTGCCTCTAAGTTTTGTCGTAAAAACGTTTATCTTGATATACGATATCCTTTTATATTCGAGCTTAAATTATTCGCAAAAAATGTTAGTTTTGAAATATGTTGTCAAATAGTGCCACAATGAATATGCAATATATCAGTTAAAGAGCATGACAAGCTATCTTCGGCACGCTAAAGATTTAATACTCATGTAGACATTTGCCTTACGGCTTAGCAGATATGTGAGAATAGTGGAGCTCGTAAATGCTGAGTTTGTTACAAATATTTTGCCATACAAAAACTCTTTACCCTAGTTTTCGATCGATATTTTCTATGGCAGCTTTATGATTTAGTGGTTCGATTCGACAGATTCGACAGAAAGACGGATGTCTGCAAAGCTTATGGACGATGGCCTGCGAGATACTAGTTCGGATAGAAAGAGAGAGAGAGAGACAGACAGACGGACGGACAGATATATCTACTCGGCTGTTGATGCTGAACTAGAATATTTATACTTTATGCGGTCGGAGATGTCTCCTTTGATGCGTTCGAGAGAAAGTCAGTCTCTTGGCATGTCCTCTTCCCTCAGCCCTTTGTACAAAGGCGGTTTTTGCCGAAAACAATGTCATGTTAGAGTTGGATATTAATCTCTATTCTGTGAAGCAGGGCTTGTTTAGCTTTAAAGTGTGTTTCCATGCCAAAATACAGTCCAACAAAAAAATGTAACACTCACAAATGTTGATGTAAAAAACATTGATTTAGCGAGTAATCGATGCTTACCAAAAACGATTCTTATGTTTAGATCATATTTATCAATCGAAAAAAATTACCAAAAGGTAATAAAAATCATAATAAAATCATAAATTTTACTTTTAATATTATGAGAGTATTTCTATCGACTTCGCGTATTCCGATAAATTGAGGTATCCATTTTTTTAAAAAAGTTCACATGTGAATGGAAAGCTCAGAACCTAATGAACCCAATCTAACTGACTTTAGTCAAAAACAAGTAAGAGGCTCTAGTCGGAAGTTCACGACTAGGGGATACCCTGAACCCTCTTCTACCAACACCAAAAGCAGTTCCCTTCAATAAGATTCGAACACGTAACAGACCACTCTACTTACCACCGCCTCTACTCAACAGCCATGCTACCAACTGACTCTCGGTGAGAAAAAAACGATTTAAAATAGAAATATATACACATAGCTCAGAATACAATACAATCGCAGTTGCAATGCTGTTGATAGAATTCAATAAAGACGCGTATGAACGTGTCTGTACATGTATACAGAAATTCTTGCAATTTTCACTAGCTGCTGCAAACACGTGGCCAGCCCAAAAACTGTTCTTTAATAGCTTGTGTGTTTCTTAACTGATCTTGATGAAATTTTCAAGTATAGACCTTATTGTGCTATAGAATATTCGTATATTCTCAAAAAGACAATTGCATTAAAATTTTGGCTCAAATTAGTGGGTAGTTCAAATTGGTTGATTTATTTGATTTTTAGCTATGGTGTGTAGGCGGCCGCAATAGCTATAACATAAAAGATATTATATATGTTATATGTTATATGTTAAATCCTATAACTTACGTGATTTGCTCAATAAACAGTATTTTGGATATCGATTTTTATCGATTACTTGGAAATGGGACAAGTTTTGAAACCGCGGAAGAAAACTCGTACCCCGCGGGCACTAGGAGGACTTACGTTCCAAGTTTCAAGTCTCTAGCTATTATAAGCTCTGAGATTCTTGCGTTCATATATACGGACGGACGGACAGACAGACGGACGGAGAGACGGACAGACTGACGGACATGGCTAGATCAATTCGGCTGTTGATACTGATCAAGAATATATACACTATATGGTGTGGGAGATGCTTCCTTCTGCCTGTTACATACATTTATTCCATTTTTACTCAGTTTTAAGGGGTTCAGGGTACAAATTAGGAAAACAATTTAAGATTGGGACAAACAAAATTAAAGAAGAAGCAGCTAGGGCTGCTGGTCAGAATATTTAAATACCAAGCACTTGGTTAGGTTTAGAGAGTTCCGTTGCAATGGGGTTGCGGGCGCGGTGGCTGTAGCGGATTGAGGCGTGGCTGGAAATCCCTAGCGTGCCGCAGCGAGCACGGATTGTGCGCTGAGCATTTAATGCGCGACGCGCTTAAGCTGCCGTCCAGAAAATATCAAATTAATTAGTAGAGTTGAGCGAAATGTTGCCCCTCCGTTTGGCTGGGTGGGCTGGCTGAGAGGGGGTGTGGGGGAGGGAAGGGGTGTATTGCTACCCCCAAGCAGCAGCAGGCAGAGCAGCGCCGAGGCAGCGGCTGCTGAATGCGAGCGGCCAATGGGCTTCGAGCAGTTGCTGCCCCGTT